AATGTAATGGGAAATATGAATAGATGAATCCTATCCTAAAGTAGATTCTGATTTTTATCGTAAAAATCTTATCATTAAACACATTGTGGACAACTTTATCACAAAACAACCCATAGGAAATCTCCTCCCTTCTTCAAGTCCTCCTTAACATCGGTCGAGACTCGAGACCATCAATTTGCATATCAAAAGGGGACATTTATGCAATTTTAAAACAAATTCCTATACAACACATTGCCTTGGTGTTTGACTCTTGAGAAGTTGAAGTAGATTATTTAGACTACTCTCACCAGTTGAAGTCTTCTGTCATTGTCCAATACCCACCCAGATGCTTCCAAGCATCCTCTTTAGATGAGTATCAAGTTGTGTTATATACTGATGCTTCGGGATGGTAGAGCAAGACATCTATATTCTTTGTAGGCATAGTTGTCTTTCATTTTGATGGTAAGCAGTGGGTGGGAGAGAAGTTTGCAAAAGAGATCACTACTACTAGTGTTTCTCAGACAGAATCTATAACCTCTTGGGAGGGTTTTCAAGTTCTGACGTCCACTTTAAAAGAGTTAGGAAGTTCGTGATGACCCCTTAACTCGATTGAAGGATTCCTAAACTTAAGAGAGTTTAACCATCCAAAACTATTTTGTCACAATCGTCCTGAAATAAATTACAAACTTTTCTCTCCTCTCGAGTCTCGATAACTTCTGTTTATTTGTGTATTTTTCATTGATTATTTGATAAAGTAAAATATTTTTGTGAACTCTCATTTTTTAGGATTTTTGATATACTTTTTAATATGTAATTTTTATTTCTTATTGATGTATCAATTTATAAATGAAATGATTTCAAAAGACAAAATGTAACTTGTAAGTCTTAATTTATATTTAAAATAGGGATGGAGGGAGTATAACTCTTATTTTTCACATGTTTGAAGACTTGACATGTTTCAATTATATGCTCCCTTCGTCTTGCAATAGGGTAAATTTCACAAATGGTACCTGAACTTTAGCTGGAATTTCGAAGTGGTACCTGAACTTCAAGCCGCCGGCGGGTCGGAGCGTTTTCCGGCCAAATCCGGCGAAATTGACGGCGGGCACCAACGCCAATGCGGTCGTGGCATCCGGGCGACCTCCAAGGACCCCTCAATTGCAAGATTTGATGAAGATTTGCAAAACCCCCAATGTTGGATCCAATTTCGAATTTTAGGGTTTTTTCGAGTAGAAAAATTCAGATTCGAGAAGTTCAGGTACTACTTCGAAATTCCAGCTAAAGTTCAGGTACCATTTGTGAAATTTACCCCTTGCAATAAAATTCACAATTACTTTCTTCTAGTGCATTGCTGGAATTGCAGGAAATTATTGAACGCTTCGAGCAATACGATGAGAGAGCTGGTCCACATTCAATGCAAAGAATTAGATATGTTATTATAAAATGGGCTTATCATGTATTTGACGCGTTAAGTCAAATGAGAACCAAATCGTAGGAGTGAACAAGTATCGAACCAATACAAAAAATTTTTAAAAAACTAAATTATCGATTCGGTATTTGGGAACGATACGAGGTACTTTTTCATTTCGAAAATCTCAAACCGAATATACATACTAATATATTGTAAATATACTACGGAGTAATCTTGTAATTTTTCTTCGTTACATAATAAGTTTTTTTTGAAATCTCGTTCAAATTTTAATTAGCTTAGTTCAAATTTCAATTTTTTGTAGATGAATTTAAAAATGTTTACACATTTGAAAACATCATTTTGTTATCATTCATTCTCTTCAGTTTGTGAAATATATAAATCAAGTCTCAAAAGCATTTGTTGCATTTGATTATTAATTTTTCAGTTTTTTATGTTTCTTTATTAAGATGTAATTTTCATTTTTCAAAAATGAAAGTTTTTATGACATTTTCAAATTTAAATTGGATACGGGTGTATTTATCTCTATTTGTATCGAATACCATAGTATACTGTGTGTGTGTGTGTATTACCGGATTGCAACTTACGGGTGTATTTATCTCTATATTTGTATCGAATACCATAGTATACTGTGTGTGTGTGTGTATTACCAGATTGCAACTCAAAGCCAGCTTTAATTGTAGTGGCGTTATGGAAGCCCAATAAATTGTACTTATAGTACACACACATACAGTAATGACAAAAAATTATTATCTTCAATTCATTTGGTTATTTTTATTTTTAGGATTTTTAAGAATTATTTTGTGACCACCTCCACGAAAAAAATGCAGAGGATTATGATTAAACGACCCCAAGATCCTCCTCCCAATTTGATCTTAATCCGACGATGGGCTGTTATGGATTAGTTTCCTTCTTTTACAAGAAGGGGACAATGATGCGTCGTCGCTAGACGACGATGAACCAGCCCAGGCCATGACTCGAACCTCGGGTAAAACTTTTGGAAATCTATTTGCTCTTATTTCAATGGGAATTTTCTTCATTGATTGGCAGCAACTAATGATGGTTTCCTGCAACACATAGTAAGTTTTCATTAGTACTAATGATCGTATAGAGATGATGATCTAAAGGCATTGATCAAACGTGTGTGCCTAGATTTTTGTAAACAAGTTTTTTATAAACAAGTTTTGCACTGGCACACACTAACACAAAATGCATGTGTTGCACATACATTTTGTGCTAATGTGTGTCGCACAGGCATTTTGTACTAGTGTGTACAAGTAGTGTGCCTCATGTTGGTGTGACTGGCATTTTTTTTATTTTCTTACCTTTACGAGTCCAAAGCACCACGATTCAACGTGCTCAGCATTGACGAAAGCAAAATTTGGTAGATCGTTGGCCGCGCAAAGCATTGTTGCAGCAGCAATGCATGAAGGCCAGTACCCAAGAAAGCTAGCCTCTTTAACATTTACAGATCTCATCGTCATGACCAACATTTTATAAATGAATCTAATGATAATGCTCCCATTCATCAAACGTGTCCGACCAACAATTCTATCAGACACAGATTGGTCAAACATGTCTTATGAGAGCATTGGTTTGATATGGAGTGTACGATGACTAATTGTGCGTACGCACGTATATACCTTGTATATTTGACAAAATAAGGTCGATGGCTTTTGAGATGAAGAAACCCGTATATGTCCCCGTGGGATCGAGTTTGTAGGCAAAGAAGGGGAGGAAGCTGAAGGGTGTAATGGTTCTTAGCCTCCAATCCAACACAGTAAGCACGTGAAGCTCCATTCTCTTTATTTAAAGAAGTGCATTGGATGGCGTGCCAAAAGGTAAGTGGACAAAGACAGTGGGACGGAGGGAGTACCAAATTATTGGTATCGAGAAATATTTTAAATATAATAATTTTTTGTTAATATATTTTAAAAGATATTACTGTTCAAATATTTAGATCGAAAAACGAATCGGACATATAAAAAATGAAATATTGTGTGTGTGTGTTTATGAGAGACTATGTGGTGTCAAAGGTGGGGTTGTGTTTACTACTTCCTCCGTTCCACAAAACCCTTTCTCTTTCGTTTTTTTGAATTTCTTAAAATACTTCTACTTTCTATTAAAAAAACCACTTTTACCCTTACTTTTTCATACCCTACCTATCACATCATACTTTTTCTCTAATAACCAAACTATCACATCTTACTTTTACTCATCACATCAGAGGCAAAATTAGAAAGTCAACCAAAATTACATTTTTCTTATTTTTGCTCAAAGTCAAAAGTGGAAGGGTTTAAAGGAATGGAGGTACTCCCTCCGTCCCAAATTATAATGCATGTTTACTATTCACATGGTCAAACTTCATTCACATTCTTTCTCTATTTTCGTTAGCAATTTGATTAAATAAAATATTATTATTACTACTAGTTTTGTAGATCTTTTGATGTAGTTTTTTAATATGTAATTTTTTTAAAAAATTTTTTTATACCATTTGTCATATAAAATGATTTGAAAATAATTTCAGTCAAACATCGTAAACCGAAACAGACGTTATAAAATGGGACGGAGGTAGTAGTATTTTGTTGAGAGAATCCGTAAATTAGATAAAGGACATAAAAGAGACATTGGTGTCACCTTGAGAGGGCACGCACTATGGTTGTCATGATACGAAAGATAATGGGCAATAAAGAAATGTGCTGTGATCCCCCGCACTAACGTTACACTCTTCCCTATCCTCCTAGAGACTATTACTTCTCTCAAAAAAGGTTAAAAATAACAACCACTCTAGTGGGACACCAAAAGTAAACAAATTCTAATCCCAAAAAATGCATTGACATATTAACAGTTTCCAATTTAATTTATCACACTAATATTATACTAGCATAAAATGTCAGTACTTGCCTTGCCTTAGGGGTATGAGGTATAAATTTTGGTGTGCATATAGTTAAATCCTAAAACTAATTAGTGGGACTTTGATGGAATAGTAAAGTCCATTTCATAGTCTTTAAAAAAGTCAAAACGTCTTTGTTTTTAAATTTATTCCTTCGGTCTCTAAAATTCCCCGTTTTATGAGTGTGGGTTTCATATTTGGTTTTCACACTTTTATTTTTCTCTTTGAAATGATTTGATCACATATTGTTGTAGAAAAGCTTATCTACTATAGGGATCCAAATTCCTAAGAATAATATATTACTCCGAATTTTCGAAGAATAATATATTACTCCGAATTTTCGTCTTTAATAAAAATATGGAGTAACTGAGTATTCAAGGTCAAACTTTATAATCTTTATTTGGTACTGTTTATTTTTGTTACTTTTTTTTATTAAAATCATATCCTGTGTAATTATGCCAACTCGTGTTTTAGTAGATCTTGGACGAAAGGAGCAACAACAACAAAAATTTTGATACTCCCTGTAAAAAAATTGTTCAATATTCACATAATAAAATTTTATTCATTTGTTGACTAATTTAATTACTTATTTAATAAAATATTATAGTCATATAATTTTTAGTTTTATAGATATTTTGATGTAATCTTTATATATGTAATTTTTATTTTTTTTAATTCTACGCATTTTTTCATTTAAAATTATTTGAAAATTAATTATTCGCAACAAAAAGATAATTTTTAAAGAGAGTCTCTTTTACCTTTACCCATTACTCTCTTTCTAAATAAAAGATCACTATGAGGGGAAAATACCCCGTAATTAAATGATGAAAATTGTATGCCTAAAAAATGTAAACAAGATGAAAATTAATTTTGAAATGAACAAAAAAAAGTCTAAAGATAAATTTTATAAATACTCCTCCGTATTATCCCTTTTTTAAGTCATCGTCTTCCTTTTTCGAAGTGAAATTAAAAACGAAAACGAATGAGAGATATTAATTTACAGGTAGGCGGCGAGCGTAGATGAAACGATCAAAGTAATTGACGGCAAGGTACGCCGTCAGTGGCTGGAAACCGTAGCGTTGCTGCACCTGCGCAAAACAGTAGTTAAAGTGTCAAACGGCGTCTAATAACTACAAAACGAAGAAAAATCAAGTTTTTTTAATTTATTTTATTTAAATATTGGTATAGAAATAAAAAATAAAACATACATATTTAAAAACTACATCAAAAGTTCAATAAAAGAAGTTGTAACAAGAATATTTTATTTTATCATATAGGTCATGAAAAAACACAAATAAATATAAATTCTAGTGGAATTGGAATAATGCTTTAGAAGGGGAGTAACAGATTTCGGTATGTAAAACCGCCGGCAGAACCGAGCGTTCTAAAACGCGCCGCCTGAACAGTGAACTGACCTAAGATATACGAAATCAATGGCGTATTTCATACGCGCGCTTCCGGCGGCGCGTTACATTCAGAGCTTCTGATGTTCAGAAAGCGCGCGGAGTAAAATCAATCGCGAAGTCATATTCAGTTATTCTATAGTCTATACCTTCAGAATCCAATTGACGGAGTCGCCTCTGGCGGCGGCGTCAATTGATTGAGAATGTAATCGCTCGGCGTAGTCAATTCCAGGGACGAAATTTCGCTCGTCGTTAATTAGACCGGCGATGGATTCGTCGAGATCGGGATCGGCAAGAGGAGATTCTGTAAGATCCGATGATGAGTACTCCGGCGACTCTCCAACGCCTCCAGAGAAGACGCTACCGGAATCCTCTCCGCAGAGCAGATCGGAGAAGATGTCAGGGCAGGAGACTGGCATGATGATTGAACTTTGACGATTCTCCTCCTCATTCTATACTGGTCATCGCCGATAGATTCCTGATTTTGGCCATAGAGATGGTTGGGTAGAGATCGGATAGTCGCCGGAATTTTTGACGCGGTGGAGGGATAACGAATTAGTCACCGGCCTGTTTTCTCTGGATATTTCCAATTTCCAAGTACTATTATATACAGCATGGAGGAAGGAAAGGATACGCATACTGAAGTTTTACTGGAGTATGTATACGGTAACATTTGCTACACTTACACCAAAAAATATAACTCATTTGTACACCACAGGTTTACACAAACATTTCGATGGTTTATACCGACACAAGTGTTGGTGTGTTAATAAATATTCACACGAACACAAATGTTGGTGCGTTTAATAAAAATTAGTTTTACACCAACACAAAGTGTTGGTGCAAAACTACGAGGTACAAATTGGGGTAGAAAGTTTGGGGTACACATAGCATAATCCTTTTCAAATACTGGTAGGAATACCTCATTGACTGTTAGTGAATTATGGTAGTATTTTTAAATCATTTAATATAAAAATGGTATAGAATTGAAAAATTATAAATTTTATATTTAAAACTACTAGTATATCAATAGATTTTCAAAATTAGAGACAAGACTATATATTTTATTAAATAGGCAACAAAAATTGACCCCATGAATAGTCAAAGAAAAGATAATTATTAGACAAAAGGAATATCTTTTTTTATTTGGTGTATAAATAAGTTATCTACTACCCCGTAGTATTAGATTTTGATATACTCTTTGGTTTTTTTGTTTGGTGTATAAATAAGTGTTGAGGTATTTTGATTAAATAATTGAAAGAAAAAAAAAGGATGTAACTTGGTGGAAACAACCAAGAAGTGGAAGGAGTTTTGTTTTCTTTCTCTTGGAGGTGTGAGCTACATTATTCCCCACTATTGTGTATTTGGCTATTTAAAAGTCATGCAACAATACCGTAGGAAGGGGAAGGAAAAAAGAGGAAGGTTAAGAGAGAGGTCTACACAAGATATCACCAACACTGTGTGAGTGAGTGTGGAGAGTAACTGGTTTTAGTTACTCGAAAAAATACATCCGGGTGTAGGGTGTGAAAAGTCTGTTTATAAGTGTCTGGTATTTAGCACTTGTAAACAAGGAGAGTTTTTTGTGTATCGTTTTGAAATAGTGAAGATATAATTTTTCTCTCATATTTTCTTCTTGTGTAGTGTGTTATTTATTTTTCACGTTCTTGATATTTTAATAGTCTTACGCGCTTAAAATTCCAACAATAAGTTATCTACTATTAGCATTATCATTTTTTTCACACATTTAGGCGTTATTTGCTTTTCCTTTTTCATATTTCTTCTATCTAAAAAAGAATGACACAATTTAATACTCTCTATTAAATAATTATTGAAATTTTTGTTTATTTATATGTTTTTATCGATTATTTGATAAAATAAAATATTTTTATCGTTTCTTATTTCTGAAAAACTTTTGACTAGTTTTAGATATATAAATTTTATTTTTCTTATTTTTTGGCTCAATTTTTAAATAAAAAAATTAAAGAATTAAAATTTCATTTTATTTTACGAAATGTGACAAATATTTGGGACGAAAAAAGTATCTAAAGTTACGTAAACATTTACTCCGTATGTACCATATATTTTTTTTACATTTTATAAGTCGGGGTATTTTTATCACATTCATGCTGTAAATTTCTTCCCACATTTTTAGTGGCCTTAACTTTTTATATTTATTTCCTTTTATCAAAAGATTTTTTAATGATTGATGCGTAGTATTTTTTACTCTGTATTTCAGTTTTAAATAAAGAGAAAATTAACTAGGTCAATCAAGTACGTGGTAACATTCATAGAAGAAATGTTTTTCACATTTGACTTTTCTTGGTCAAAGTTTATAAATTTTTACTATAATTTGTAGAAAAAACAAATTGTATTATGATGTAAATTTAATATTAATATATTCATAATGAAGTAGTTTTCAAATATCAAATTTTTATAAAATATATCTATGTATAAATACAGATATTAATGGTCAAAGTACAATATTGGAGACCGTGAAAAGTCAAATGGGAAGAACATTTCCAGACGAAGGGAGTAACAATATATCAAGTAATATTATACTCTTTCCATCGCATAAATTTTTTTTATTTACTACGGAGTATTAGTCTATTAGAGTTGATCAATAATGCTTATTTGTATGCATGTTTCATTGATCATTTGGTAAGATGAAATATCTTTGTCAAATATTACTTTGTAGAGTTTTTTAATTTAGTTTGTAAATATAATTTTTTTATTTTTTATTTCTTTACATATTTGTAAATATAATCATTTTGAATTTTATGTAGTTTTACACATTATATTGGTCAAAATAGTGTATAAATATAATGCCAGATTAGTTCCAACGGCTACAAACAAAAAATACAAATTTCTTATAGGCATGTGCCATTGTTGCAAGAATGACCACGGAGTACATTTTTTGGTAGATAGAATGGCTACCATTTTCAATGCTTTTACTCGTATTAAATTATAGGGACTAATTAAATTCTAATTTTGTTCATGATGTGATAGGTAAAACTGTAAAAGTAAGATGCGATAGATTATTAGAAAAAGGGTATGATGTGATGTATAGATTATTAGAAAAAAGGTATGATGTGATAGGTAATGTAATAATAAAATCCCTTTTACAGAGAGTGTTTTTCTCAAAGAATGAAATCTCTTTTGAAGACCCGTTATTCTTAAATGGGAACCATAGAGCTTGTTAACGAGCTTTAGAGGCTGTTTGGCAGTGTATTGCTTTTAATCATTTAGCTTCTGCTTTGAGTAGAAGTGATTTTATTCTGTTTGGTATGTCAGCTTCTGCTTTTCACCACCACTATTTTGTACATAGAACACCGTTTCGGAGAAGCAGGTAGGAAGTGCTTCTGCTTTCAGCTTTTGTGGAAATCACTTTATCCATACATTAATTACTCCCAAACACCATCTTAGTATTCAGAAAGAAAAAAAAACTTTAAATTTACAAAGCCACACTACCCCAACTCTCTAACCAACTGAAACTTTCTGCCTCCTTTGTTTAAGAATTGGCATATATTCCCCTTTATAAAATTCTCCTTGTTAAAAGGAAAAAAAAAATTACAAACCCCAAAAGAAAAGAGGGTCCCCCAAATTTTATACTCCCTCCGTTCCTGAGTGTTTGTCCACTTTCATTTTTGCACATCATCCAATTCACTTCTTTAATCCATTTTATCTTGTAATTTATATATTAAAAAATTATAAAAATTATATATTAATAATCTATATGTTAAGACGAATCAAACAAGATCACATATGGCTATTTTTAGGCTTACACATTGAGAGAATTTGATGAGTCAAAGTGCTTAGATGAACAGTTCCAAAAGTCAAAAGTGGACAAACACTCAGGGACGGACCAAGTAATTCCTTTGTTCTTAAATATCTCACACTTGTATTTTCAAAATAAAATATCAGGTTTTCAAATCATTTTATTTACATATTGATATAGAAATAAAAAATAAAATCTATATATCAAAAAATTACATGAAAAGTTTTTCGAAATAAGAGGTGTCAAAAATGTTTTATTTTATCAAATAACTAATGAAAACGTAGAAATAAACAAAAATTCCTGCGGCGGCTAAAAAAGAAAACACTGCAAATATTTTGGGACGGAGTGTGTGTGTGTGTTTGTGTGTAAACTCCCTCCGCTTCAAAGTCTTAACCTTTTTTATATCCTATAAAAAACTTCTATACTACCTAAAATATCTAAAATATCCTCAAACTTTTATCCATAATAAACTATATAATGAAGTATATTTTAGACATTTTAGATGTGATTAGAACAGATTTAGAAGTATTTAATGAGTAGGCAAAAAATTAGAGAGAAGGATTTTGCGAAAAAAGAGGGCATGTATGACAAGATTTTGCTATTAGCTGATCCTGATATTGGCTTTGTTTGGAACATGGTTGTTGGCACTTGGCTGTTGACTGTGTGTGTTGGCTGGTTTGAATGACTTATTAAGTTAGTTGTTTTGACCAGCTGTTTAAAATTAAATGTTTGGCAACTTTAGCTGTTTATATTTAGCTATTTATGGGTAAAATTACATATAAGGACATCCCTCCATTTATGTTTATTTGTGTATGATTTTAAATTTTTTAATTTGGTAAAATACACACATTATACAAGAAAATACTTTACATATATTTTTTGTTGTTGGACAAAAAAGGCTACTTCATTTTTTTTAATTTAATAAATGAAAATTTGCATTTATATTTTATAAGTATATTTTTTTTGTATTTTTCTTATTATCATTCTACAAATAACAATCATGCATGATATATTATGTTTTATAATTTTTTAAATATGATATCATAAATATACAAAAATACTCTACACCAATTTTAAATATGATATCATATATTTTTAATATACTCTACACCAATTTTAATTTTTTAAATATGATATCTTATATTTTTTTGTTGGACAAAAAAGGCTACTTTGTTTTTTTAATTTAAGAAATGAGAATCTACATTTATATTTTATAAGTAGATTTTTTTGTATTTTTCTCATTTATCATTCTACAAATAACAACCACGCATGATATATTTTATTTTATAATTTTTTAAATATGATATCATAAATAGATAGAAATACTCTACACCACTTCTGGTGCCGTGATGATCGCAGAGAGACGCGACACCGAGAAAAGGGTAAGAAACGGAAACGGGGTGAACTGCTAAGTGAAATGCGGCTAGGGTTGGCATTTCTATTTTTGGTGGTTCGGTTTCAAATGTCATTTCCAAAAGCCATTGTCCAAATAATTAATTTGGCGGTTTGACTAGTCCAATCTGCCGTTTATGGTCAAAGATACCAAATGCTAGGTGAACCGCCATTTACCAAACATGGCCATTGACGGCATTATTCGTGAGTAAATTTATTTAGTGTTACTTGCTACGTGTTAAAGTAATTATTTCTTTAAAAATTTCAAAAGTAAAGGAGTTTAAATTAGGATGGATAGCTCATGCCGCAAAATTAAATTTCATTTTTTAAAGGAAAAATTACCCAGAATAATCCCAACTTTACCCGTTCTTTCAAAAATAATCTCACCTTTCACTGTGATGCATAATAATCCCAACTTTACTAAAATTTGCCAGTTTTGGGTCGCCGTTAAGTTTCTAACGGAGGG